ATCTGCAACTCTCTGTCTCGAGTGGTGCATTTAATCCATTAACATTCAGGGTAATTATTGATAAGTTTGAATGTGTTGCTGTCATTTTGTTATGTGCTTTTTCATGGTGTCCCTGGTTTCTTTGTTCCAATCCCGCAAGACTGCTAATGGCTCGGTAGTTTGTCTGAGATACTGCCCACCTGCAGCACCAAAGATATGCGTGATTTCAGCTGTGTTGGAGTTGGGGAAGTACCGCTAGTAAACTGTGGTCCCAGTATCAGTGACAAAGATAAGCACAATGTCTCCTGGGCTGACCCAAGGCCACTCAGTGACCTGCTGAAAGGGGAGGGAGCTCGCCCTCCTGGTGCAACAGTGAGCTCTCCGCTTGAGACTCAGCAGTGCTGCGTGCGCCCGCCTGCACCCAGGTGACCCATATTACTGACAAAATCAAGTGCTAGCAGCAGATACCTGGGGCTGCCTGCTGGATGTTGGAGTGGTCACTGGTATGCTGATATAGCGTGTCTTCTTTCTTGGCTCACGGGGATCTCAGGTGGCTGCCCTTGCCCGCCAGTCGGTGACTGCTCCAGGAAGTTTCCAGTGGTCTCTCTTTTGGCTGCCTGTCCATCCTCCGCCAGGTAGTTCTTTCTTAAATAAGCTCCCTGTGCCTTTCCTCTAATTCTGCTCTTCTGTGTTTGGTGCACTCTGATTCAGTGAGCTGTTCAGAGCACCAAAATCCCTAATTCAAACTGCTGTACCTAGTTTTTCAAGCACTTAGATGCTAGAGGGGAAATAGTGTGGTGCTTACTGACAAGACTCCATTTTGAATCCCAACATGCTGCATTTTTGAGGTGATAGAAATAGTTAAAATTAGATGGCAATACAACTCTATAAAATTTATTGAAAATTTTAAAATATTGTCCCTTTCCCCAAAACAAAGAATTATCAGGCACAAAATGCCAACAGAGTGAAAGCAGAGAAACTGATTCAAATCAACATGACATAATAAAAATTATATGGTTTTAATAAGTGAATCTTACTAATGAAAACTCTACTTTAAGTAAGCTGTTTAAAAAGATATGGTATTTACTCTAATACAAAGAATTGACTCAGTTTAACTGAAAAAGTTAGAAACTTACCAATTAAATATGTTTTTTTTAAATATCAGTAAATATTTAAGGAAAAACTTACACAAAATTTTAGTTAATCTACTATTACCAAATCTGTTTGTGAATGTAGACCATTGCTTCAAGAAATAGAAAACTTTAATACGTCAATTAACGTAATTTGAGTAGCATCAAGCAGCTGAACTGATAACAGGACAATCACTTCTATCTCTGACCATAATAAAACAATCACTTCTAAATTTGATATTAACGGTAGGTTCTTCACTTTGACACTTAGATGGAATAAAATTAAGCATACAAATAATACTTTTAAATGTTGTAAAATCAATTCCCAAATCATTTTCTTTACTTTTTGCACAATAGTAAAGAGAACACAGTGCAGAGTTTCATTTTAAAGGTTCATTAACTACATACATGCATTAATTTTTTCACTTAACTAGCTCCATGTGTTTCAAACGAAAGGAAACCTTTAACATTAAAAGCCTTCTGAGCAAAATTCCCATAGTCTGAAATGATAATATTTTGCTAGTCCATTCAAGAAACAATGCAGTTATTGTACTGTATTATTTGTTCCCCATTTCATGTGATATATAATACAGCACTTACCCTGCTTTCTTCTAGGCTATCAAATGGACCTGGTGGATCATCCAGACAAAGAAATTCTCTCACTGCAAGGCTTTTCAAAGGAAAAACAAAACAAAACAAAAAAAAGAGCTGCGGTATACGTAAGTTTACAAAAGACAGAAAAAAGCAAATGTTTTAAGCCAGTTGGTTCTGCTGCCATACCAAAATAAGCAAGGTGATTTATGTTTTCATACCAGACTCACTGCTGTCAAGTCGATTTGACTCATAGCAACCCCTCCTTGAGTTTCTGTCGTGGTATCTCTACAAAAATAGATTGCCCAACCTTCCTTCCAAGGAGTGGCTGGTGGGTTTGAACTGCCAGCCTTCTGGTTAGCAGTCAAATGCCTTAGGCACTAGCACTAAGCCACCAGAGCTCCTTTCTTTTCATACAAGTAACCAAATATAAAATCTATAGAAGATACAGTGACTGTAAGTTATTTTCTAATATCTTATAAACAGAGATAGGGAATTTACCATTACATAAAAACTTTACAACATAAAACAAATTCAGAATAACGGTACAGGAGACCAAGCTAAATGGTGAATAGCATTTCATTTTTAAGAAAATGACTATCAAAGATATATCAGTTTCAATTAAAACTAAAAAGTCATTTCCTGTTATGAATAAATAAAATTCCTAATTTGTACTTCAATTTTTTTTCTTTCAGTGGATGCTTCTAGAGTATTTAAAAATGGCTTTACAACTTTGATTTAAAAACACTTTGCAGTTACATTTCTTCTGCTTCAGTAGTACTTGTAGAGGAAAATAGTCCCAATTCCAAGCTCTACTCCTATCCATAGAAAGACACACAAATCTCTGGGAGACAGTATTATTTAAGAAAACAACTCCTTTCTTCGAAAAATTCTGATATATAAATTTTTCCCCCCTAGGAAAGGAAGCCATCACCCTTGCTCTGAACACTGACTTGAGAAATTTATTTAGATTCAATAAATATTTATTGAATGCCTATGCTTGCTATCATTCTGTTTATTGGTTTTCTATGTATTATCAATGTATGGTCTATAAACAAATCAACTGAATTCAAATAATATATAAATATCAAAGTCTACATTATTAAAAGCTCTACTGAGATATAGTCATCAATTTAAAAAGGAGCTCTGGTGGTGCAATGGTTAAGCACTTAGCTGCTAACCTTTGAAAAGCTGGCAGTTCAAACTCACCAGTGACTCTGCTGGAGAAAAGAACTGGTGTTCGGCTCCTGTAAAGTTTTCAGCTTATGAAATGCTATGCGGCAGTTCTACTGTTATACAGGGTCAGTGTAAGGCAGAATCAACTTCAGAGCACGCAATAACAATAATAGCAACCAATTTTAAAGTCTCTCTCTTTTTTTTAAATATGTTTAGGTTCAATACAGCCCCTTAATCTTCCTTCATTGTTCAATCTTTAATACTTTTGTTTCCATTTGACTGTGACAATATATAGGCAAGAAATATATCAGAATAGGAGAGAAACCTGTATGACCAAAGAAAATCCAACAATCTGGAATTTATCTTTGTATTCCTTTTACTACCTAGAACATCTTTTACTGTTATCTGGAAAAAAACTTTCATTTTCAAATTGCACCTGCTGTTGGCTTAATTTGCCTGAGGAGAGGAAGACCACTGATGGTTTTCTGCTACAATGCACTGTTTTTAACATAAGGGCTACTCTGCACTATAACTTCAACTCTTCCTTTGATTCTCTTTAAAAGATTTTTAATGTATTTGCAAACTATAAACAATATAAAATTCATCAAGTTATATAAACATCTCTTCAAATCTTCTCTTTAAAAGATTTTTAATGTTTGCAAACTACAAATAATATAAAATTCATCAAGTTATATAAAAATCTCTTCAAATCTAACTTAATAATAATAATTAAAAAAAAAAACAAACTTACTGCTGTGGAGTTGGATCTGACTTACAGCAACCCCTGCTTGGGTTTTCGAGGTGGTATCTCTTCAAATCTAACTTAATAATAATAATTAAAAAAAAAAAACAAACTTACTGCTGTGGAGTTGGATCTGACTTACAGCAACCCCTGCTTGGGTTTTCGAGGTGGTATCTCTATGGAAGTAGATTTCCCAGTCTTCCTTCCAAGGCGTGGCTGGTGGGTTTGAACCGCCAGCCTTCTGGTTAGCAGTCAAATATCTCAGGCACTGCACCACCAGAGCTCGGTAAACCTTCACTATTTACTGTTATTTTTTTCTTTCATAGTAATGTTATCTGTTTATACTTCAAAAATTAAAAAAGAAAAAACTGACTAGCAAGTTAATAGCTAAACGTGCTCATGTTCTTTATCTCAAAAAGTATGTTTAAAAATAAGAGGAAAACCCTAAGACAAATCCCTATAAGTGATAAAAAGGTCAATTAAGAACTAAGCAAAAATATACTAAAAATATTAGATACCAATTTGTCAAAACCAAGCACAAGAAGTATTGCATAATTTTATGAAAATCAGAATTTTATTTACAAAATTTCTAAAATTATAAAAATTCTAAGACTAATTCTAACTGAAGGGCTTCAGATAGAAATGTTAAATCAGTTTAGTATTTCTCTTCAGTATTCTTGACTGGTTAAAAGTAAATAACACAAATAAAAAAAAAACAAACTCACTGCCATCGAGTCATGTCTGACTCATGGAGACCCCTCCTTGGGTTTCTGAGGCAGTATCACTACAGAAGTAGATTGCCCAACCTTCCTTCCTAAGAGTGGCTGGTGGGTTTGAACCAGAGCTCCCAAATAACACAAAGACTGTGAGCCTCACTGTCACTAACCTTGATCTCTCACTAACCTTGATCTCTGAGTCCTTTAGTCTTAGGGTTGGATTTAAACAACACAAAATGGACATTAAATCCAACGCTGAGGCTAAGGACTCAAGAGATCAAGGCTAGTGACAGTGAGGCTCACAGTGTCTAAGACTGGAGTGGAGGCTTGTGAGGCTGAAGGGCTCATGCTTAGCTTCCAGTGCTGGATGTGCGGCCTGGCAGTAAAGGCTTAGGTTAGACCTTGATCACTCTCAACCTAGATACTTTTCACCCACTGGTGTCTCTGTCTTAGTTTTATTTGTTCTAATCCAACTTTATTCCTTCTGAATAAAAACTGGAAATGTTCAGTTTTACCCCTTCTAATCTAATTCCTTCCAACAAATGTTTTATGTCAAACCCAGTTTAAAACCCATATATGGTTTCTCTAGCAAGAGGAACAAAGCAAAGGTCTTGGCTTTGGCATAAAGCACCTGCCTTCCTTCAAGTTTTAACTTCCTCTCTTACTTGACACTCCATCAATAGTACATCTGCATTCCTATCACACTGTTTCACCCATGCCTTTGCTCATGATCACTGCTATTGTCCCTGCCCACTCCTCCCACCTCTACCTGGCTTAATCTTACCAATTCTTCAAGACTCAGTTTAGCTGCTTTCTCTTTATGGGCACAGAAGTGTCTAAACCCCTTTCCCTACCCTCTATTAGTTTCAGTGTTATTCTAGATCTTCTAGAAATCCCTTCCATAGGACATATTACACTGTATTATTAATATCCTGTTTACCAAGCACTGCTTCACATCAAGTAACAAGTTCCTGGGCCATGCAGACTACATCCAACTTAACTAGTACAGCACAGATTAAGTATTCAATAGGTAAGTGATTGTGAAAGCTATGCAGTTAGAAAAAAATTACTGAAACTATTAAGAATATCAGAACAAACTTTTATCCACTGTTGTAGTACAATTCTCAAATTTGAGATGGATTTTAGTTTTCAACAGATACTCCTACTTTCACAGGATAATGCTTATTGTCTCATTTTTGGCTTCCTTTTGTTGATGTTACAACTTCAAAGTATCACAAGACATCATAAAAAATAAATAGCAAAATTTATTTAATATTAAGTAAGAATGTGCAATAGACTTTATTCTTTCTATCCATCTTTACACATCCTTCACCTTGACAAACTGTCATGTTCTTCCTAGTATGTTGTTGTGGTTGTTATGTGCCGTCGGGTCGGGTCTGACTCATAACGAACCCTCCTTGGGTTTCCGAGGCAGTATCACTATGGAAGTAGATTGCCCCATCTTCCTTCCGAGGAGCGGCTGGTGGGTTTGAACCGCCAGCCTTCTGGTTAGC